TGGGTTCAGAAAGGTGGCCTTCCGAGGGCTGGGGATTTAGCTCAGCAGTTTGGTGGCCTGCCTTGCAAGTGCAAGGTCCCAAATTCAATCCTCAGTACCAAAAACAAAACAAAACAAAACAAAAAAAAACGTGGCCCTCTGGATCCATGAGCTGACCTGGTGTCTGGGTGGGCTTCTTGATGGGGCATGTGCATACTTGGGGTATTATCTAGGTGTGCTGCTGAGTACAGGCCCTATGTACCTATTGTCTGGCTGAGTGCTGTGTACCCCAGTACCTGTTGTCTGAGGAGCAGGCTTCTGGTTACAGTCTCTGAGCACTTATCGATGGTATTGGGGTGAGCCTCTGGGTGTTGCTTGCATGCCTATGCACTTCTTTTCCGGGCATGCCCTTGGCTTTGGGCTGTGTGCCCAAGACATGGGTTAGGGTGGATTCTGACTGGAATCTGACTGTAGGTACACTGCACTGGTCCACACCACCTGGTAACTCTTAAAAACAGCTGGTGCAAGAACTTTATGTACAGAACCCCAATTTCAAAAGACATTGTAGTAAGGATTAAAAATGGGATAATATTTAATTCTAATGCTTCTGCATAAGGAAAAAAAATCAACAGATTAGAGTCATTGTAAAAAAATGACAAAAGCATTCTACCAGAAACATTCTACTCAGACAGATGACTAATACTTATAATATACAACAAACTCACAAAAACCACACACCCTCCAAAAAATAAAAGATTTGGTCCAAAAAATGGGAAAATTGAAGTGAACAGACAATTTTCAGAAGTACAAATGGCCAATAAATACATTTTAAAATTTCAGCATTTTTGGCCATTAGAGAAATGTAAATTGAAACAACTCAGATTTTGAATTATTCCTGTAAGAATGGCTATTATGAAAGACTCATAAAACAACAAATGTTGATCAGGCTGTGCAGAAAAAAAGGAAACTTTCCACAGTTGGGTTTGGAATGTAAACTAGTACAACTACTATGGAAATCTGTAGGAAGATTCCTCAAAAAATTAAAACTACAAATTCAATTTAGATATAGAAGACAGGATTGCAATTAGTGACCAGGAAATTACCAAAATTGAAACTATCAACATTTCAATTTGACCCAGCTACAACTCTTCTGGATATCTTCCTGAAAGAACAAAAAAACTAACATATTACAGTGATGCATGTACACCTATGTTTATTGCAGGAAAATACTATTGTGTTTCATGGAAGTAGCCCATGTGCTTATCATTAGATGAATAGATTAGGAAAATGAAATTATATATATTCTGTGACAAGATCAGAATTCAAGCTTTAAAATAGTTTTATTAAGTGAAGGTAACTTTCATGCTATGTTAAAATCAAAATATCACAAATTATAGAGTGGTAAGTTGAGCACCATCTGCACCTAGATTTACACTTGATGAAAGATGTGCCAGATGTCTCTTTAGGAAATCAAAAAATACTCCTAAAGAAAATTAGATGCTTAAATAAAAGAAATGACATGTTATGTTTATGTGTTGGAAGACTCAACATTGTAAAAATATTAATTCTCCTAATTATACAATAAAAATAGTGTAATCTAAATCTAATTCCAAGTAGATTTTTAGTTTACAAATTTGACAAGCGAAGTGCAAAATTGAGTACAGCTTCAAAGGACCACAAATAACAAAAACACCTTGAAAAATGTTGGTAGACTTACACTATGAGATATTAATGATCATAAAAAAATGACAGTAACTAATATGAAGTGACATTTGTATAAGAATAGACAGAAATATAACAGAATGAGGAATCTAGAAGCAAACATATGCATATATGGTCACTTTTTTTACAACAATGTTGTCAATGCGTTTCAATTATTGAGAGTGACTTCTTTCAGTGAGTAGTACTGAATAATAGTTGGATAATTATGAGGGAGAATGATTTTTCAATGTTTCAACATACCATCACAAAACTTACAGAAGGATGATAGACTTAAATATAAATGGTAAAGCAATGAAATTTTTAAATATTAGTACACAATATCTTCATGATCTTGAGTTGACAATTACTTTGTAAACAAGATAGAAGAACATAAAATTTAAAGGAAAAGATCAATACATTGACTTCATTTAAATCAAGAAATTCTGTTTGTGACATTAGCGTTTTAAAAGGTACTAGTAGGGCTAAAAGGCAAGTCTCATAATAAGCAAATACATTTACAACATTTTGTAAAAATCAGCGCATAAAAAGAATTCTTCTAATCCAGTAAAATTAAAAACAAGCAATTGAGTAAAAATAAAAACAGCTAAAATAAAGGTAACATGTATTTCACAGATGAGATTATCCAGGAGACTAATAAGTACATAGAGATGATGATAAAGCTTCTTAGTTATCAGAATAATATAAATCAACAGCACAGTCAAATGCCAGCACAGAAGTTTCACATGCTAAAATTTAAATTTGCTAGCTCCAAGAATTGCTAAAAATAGAAATCCCATGTGCTACTGGTGGAAATGTTAATGACAAAAACTATTTTTTAAATGGTTTAATATAGCAATTACACACTGCCTATATATAAGTCAACAATTCAAAATCTATATTTATGGCCAAAACAAATTAGTGTATATGTGCACCAAAAGAGACATACAAAAATATTCATAACAGAATTAATCATTATGGGGTCAACCTGGGATAGGGGAATGCACAAAAATATGGGAAATTGTGGTGAATAAGATAATAGAACTAGGAAAGAAAATCAATAATTGGTGCTACATGCAATATCATGGATGCATTTTGCAAACATAGTGGGGAGCATAAAAAGCCAGACACAAAATATTCATACATGTTGTTCCACTTATACATAAAGACTCAAAGTAGACAAAAGTCATCTATGCTAGTAGATATAAAAAATAGTGGTTATGTTGGGGGCAATAATAAGTAGGAAAGCACAAACTCACCTTCTCAGAAGCTGATTGCGTTCTATATTTTGATCTGTTAGCAGTTAAATAGATGTATTTATTTTATAAAGGTTATTCATTCTGTATGCTAATGACTTATTAACATTTCCATACGTGTACTACACCTTAAAAAAATCTTATCCCTAATAAATGTGTAAATTTACAGTAAATGCAAACCATTAAGATTTATCAGTTAAAATTCAATAATTTCTAAATTGCTAAAGCAACATAATCTAGTTGTAAAATATTCATCATAGAATCATCTACATCATAAGATGATAGAAAGTTGAAAGTTAAAAGAGAAAAAATACATTCCAGGGAAATAGTAACTCAAAGGAAAATGGGATAGCTCCAATAATTTTAAATACAATCAAAATGTGAAAGACAATATAAAGAGAAAACCACAAACCCGTAATTGTGGTGGTACCTACAAATATTTTTCACATACATCAGTAGATTAAGCAGATAAAATATTTGTAAATTCATAGATTTGAATAACACAACGATTAAAATTGACTTAATCGATTTCCATAGAGCACAGTACCCAGTAACTAGAGAATGTACATGATTTTCAAGTACACAGAAAATTTACAAAAAATGGCTCCCTTTAGGTCACAAAGCAAGATTGAACAGAAAACCAAATAATTATTATTATACAGACTACATTTTTTACTAAATTTTAAAATATTAAAAATAAGAAACAAAAACTTTATGTTTTTGAAAGCTTAAAAACACATTTCCAGTAGGGGAAAGGGAATAAAGGAAAAGAAAAAAATTATGAGAAAATTAAAAAATGGAAATAAAGTGTTTGTAAATGGGGAGGGGGGGAGAGGGTAAAGGGAGGGTAGGGACAAGGGGAAAGAATGAGAACCAAGACCAATCATGTAAAGGTACAAGATCCCAGTAATGAATGTAACTGTACTGTATACCTAGAATGTACCAATACACTCAATAAAAAGAAAAAAAAAAAACATTTCCAACAGTCCATGGAGCAAAGTACTCAAACTATAAAAAAATTTTAAACTAAGCAACAGTAGAAAAACATAACATTTCAAGTTTATATTACGTGCTTTAAAGAACTGCAAAAGCAACCTTAAATGCTCCATAAAGTTTGCAATATTTAACCTGTATGTTCAGTTTGAGATAGGACAAAAATTTTAAAACAACAAAAGTCATTCAAAGAAGAAAAATATAAAAATAAGTAAATGATCAATATAATAAAAAAGAACAGAGGGGATTAATAAAGCAAACATTTGTTTTTAGAAAAAAGTTTAATAAATTTATTTTCAAGAAAGAAAATAGATGGCACAAATAAATACTACTAGGAGTGCTTTTTAAAGTGGCAAAACTACAAATGCAGTAGACATAACTGATATGACAGACAATAATGAAATCTTAGAAACAGTTCTCTGCCAACACATTTGAAATATGAAATGAAGTTTTATATATGAACAGAAATTACCAAAATTGTGTTTTCCAGACAGTATAATATTTAAAGTCCTATGACTTATAAAAAGAAGGCCATAATTGCTGGTTTTCCTCTGTTTCCCACCATCATTAATGACCATTTTTCATTCTCAGTTCTCCCACTTTGAGCACTAACTTAAATGGTCACCTAGAAATAAGAGTATATTGAGGATTTTGTGGGGACAAGTAGACCCTGATTAGGCCAATGTGCACAGATTTAAGCAAGTTGAATGGGATAACATGCATACAGGAAAAAAACAATATGCGTTTGTCTTTGTCTTTAAAGCTCCTTGGAGCTTCTTGGTCCACAATGGTTCTTTCCAATTCTCTAAGTCTGCTCTTCCTACAAAAATTTATCAACTTGTAGAAACATCAGACTAACAAGATAATGTTTGGGGCTCAGTGGTGCCGCCTCCTGCCTTGGAAGAGCAAGGTCCCAAATTCAATCCCAGGAACAAAAGATAAGATTTGCTTTAGGTAGTGAATATTTCTTCAAGAAATTGTCCAGGCCCCATGCATGCCTTTCTTTAAACTGATTTTTTTTTATTAACAAAAAATTTAATATGAAAATGTGTATGACCCAATTTTTAGTAATAGCTAGTGCTCTGAAGAGGGGAATTGATTTCTCTGCTGAACAGTTACTATGTAAACTCGTTCCAAGGCTTCCAACATGATGATATTATTTCCTCGTATTACCACCATTCCAATATTATTCTGTTGCCCACTGGTTGCCATCTTCACACATTTACCTATCACAAGATTCATAAAGGGATCAAATCCTCTCAATGTTCCTTGGGCATGTCTGCCGCCATTTGATTTCAATGATAACTTCTTGTCCATAAATTTTTTCAGCTCTGGAGGGTGAGCCTTGCTCATGTTGTCTAATCCGCGGGCTCAGAAATCTTTTGAAAAGCAACCTTGAAGCTGATTTTAACCCCTTGTTTGTTTATGGTTATTGTGGAACCATGATTATTTGCATAAACAATGGATCTAACAGATTTGTCCCTGTAATGGGAAAGTTTAAAACATGCACTTTTCCCGTGATTCTCTTAATATTTATGTTATTTTCATATTCTCTAGTATTTGAATTTTGCAATCCCACTTAATGATAACCCTTTTGTAAGGATAGGATACAATATACTGTGTTAACAAATAACTGAAACAATGTGTTTCCCGGTAACAAGGTACCTTTCTTTTTCATACACATATTCTACTAGGCCAGCAGAAGTGTTCACCAGAAACCCAGGGTGACAAAATAGCCACAACCTCAAAATCATCAATTTCTAGAAATCACTTAGGTCATTGTCAGTGAGAACTCACTAGCAATAACAGGTTACACGTTTCTATCCCAAACCAGCACAGCCTCTCATTCACATGCTTCTGCCTTACATTTTTATTGCAGGTATGCTGAGTGTAGGAAGCCTTTGAACAACAGTCCCACTTTTAAAAAATTTAATCTAACTTTGTTTTCCTGTATTGTGTGAATACCTAACATGAGATCTACCGCGTTAATTAATTTTAAGTATACTATACATTATTGTTGACTCTAAATATATTATTGTACAGCAAATCTCTAAAGCTATATTGTTTGATAGAAACTTTAAATTATGTAATTTTTGTAAATAGGTTAATCTGCACAAATTTTATGATATTCATCAGTTAAATCAGATATGTAATAATCATATATCAGGACCTTGGTGAGAAACAAGAGCTGAAATGTATCAAATTTATTGAGTCACTCACATTCAAGGTCAAGTAAGTGCCTTACATTAGACCTTCCCTGATAACTTATAGTATACACATCCCCATTCCACTTTGGACAGTTGCTAAATGATTACTAACACTGCCTTCAAATAAATACCACTTTCAATTGTTATGTGAACAAAGATCATGATGCAAAAGCATCATTTAAAAGTTTTCTAGCTTGTCCCGGGCGTATAGCTCAGTGATAGAGGATATGTGAGACCCTAGGTTCAACATCAAGAAAGAAATAATTCTTGGTTTATAATTATATACCAGTTTATTCTGCTTTGTCATTGTTTTGTTTAGTTTTAATCCATTTCTAATCTGTGAAATCTTTTAAGGTATTGGAAAAAAGAAAAATGCTTGAGCACTGTGCATCTGTCTAAGTGGAAAGATATATGTCAATTAAAATGAGAAGGCAAAAATAACCTTGGAAAAAATAAGGGACGTGAAAAAGTCCCCAAAATGAAGAAGAGAAGGCAGGGAGATTGTATGGATTGGTCAACAGCCATGTGATATATTATAGGATAAGGCAAGACAATGAAACTAGCTCAAAAAACAAAAAGCACTTCGTGGAAGAAAAGGAAAAATGGTACTGTTGGTTGGTGAGAGAATAGAAAGGACTGGCTCCTGAGTACTTTAAAACTGGGGTAAAAGACTTTATTGAAGAAGAACAATTCTTCTCATTGAAGGAGGCAAAAATATAGTTTCTCATGGTTTATTTGCTGAAGACCAAGGAATCTGCCTAACATTTACTTTCCTATAGAAGTTGTTTATGTTATGGTTGACCTCTGTTCTTAATCAAATATTCTTCCTTGCAAACATTCATAATTCAGTATGCTTCTTGGCAACGCTTATCTTTTAGTAAGTCAACAAATAGTTTTGGCTTTCTGTAATGATTATGACTGTAACTGAGCTTATTTTTCACCCACATTCATCCCTTGCAATAAACATCGTCAGCTTAAATTCTTCTCCAGTCACCAGCCAGACTAAAAGCTACATCACATTTGAACATGCTTTCATGGGTGCTCAGAAATTCATAAAATTCCAAATTTAAAATGTAAGTCACTTACTGAATATTAATGTTTTATGTTTGGTTTGAAAATAATAGCTATGAAAACCATGTTTGAAAAATTCTGAGTATGTTTTTGCCTTTACATCAAGAGTAAAGATTAATGCAGCAAGGATTATCATCACTAGTCCTTTCTGATGTTTCTTCTGCTCTCTGCCTTGTCAACCACAATTGAGTGTTTCAAAGATGGCATAGAACAAATGGGGTCTGGTTGTTCCATTGTGCTGCACTTCTCCCTGGGGGCTACTTCCCCATCTGGCAGGTGTTTTCATTGGTGTTGCCAAGGCTCACCCTTCTCAGTGGCTGCAAATGTACAACCTGTTAATCAGTGGCTGCCAGCAAATAAAGAACTTCTCTTGTTTCCCATTCTGCTTCACTTGCCAAATGAATATTTTACTTTAATATCTAATAGCCTTTACCAGCTGTTAGGTTCTGTTTTACCAGTCAAAAATCCGTGGGCTTTGCAGTTCTCATATTGTCCTGCCATTCTTACAGTGCAACTGCCAGAGACAATAAAAAAAAAAAACACACACATCAATACTGTTGCCTCTGAAGTATCTTTAAACCAATAAAATTAAGCCTTGCATAATCCTCAGATTGCAAAATCTTGGAATGCTAGTCTTTTGTCCAAAGGATTTTCTCTTTAATGTATTTTGGAACATTCACTAATGCCTTTATTTTTCTTATTTCCAATTTAGGTCTGATATGATTTGAATGTTTTTGTCTCCTCTACAACTCACATTTTAAACTTCATCCCCATTGCAACAGCACTGGGAGATAGGCCCAGTGGGAGGTGTTGGGAAAGAATGCTGTTGCACAAGGACTCTTAGGGGTGGATTTTCTCTCTCCCTGTCAAATGTGGAACAGTGTTCTTCTCCAGAAGATGTGAAGTTCAAGGAGCCTTCTTAGAAACAGAAACCAAGTCCTTACCAGACACTAAACCTGTCAATATTTGATCTTAGATATTTTACTCTCCATAATGGCACAAAGATAAAATTCTGTTCTTCATAAATTTAGCCACTGGGTGGTATTCCAATAGAGCATAACAAAACAGAATGAATGATTTCAAAGAATATTTGTCGTTTACCCTTTAGGTGTTGTGGACTATCCTAAAAACTTTTGAGTTATATACATTAGGAAAATAAAGATCCATGATCTGTGGTTTTTATATTCTGGTAAGGAAGGTGAATAGTAAATTTAAGTTAAAAAAGGAAAAAAGAAAATGGAGTAGCACAGGGAAGTTGGAAGTTTGGGGATGACACTTAAAAATGTCAAGGAATTTAGCCAAGCAGACATCTAGGAAGTGAGTGCAACAAGCAAAGGACACAGTGAAATCCCGGAGGTAGGATATGCTTAAGATTAAGGAGGAAATCAAGGAGATTAGTGTGGCTGGAGAAAAGACTCCAGCCAAATAATGGGAAGTGGGTGCCAGGAGGAATGAGAGGAGGCGAGACGGATTCTACGCAAAATGAGATGGGTAGATGTTGCAGCGATTTGGGCAGGTGAGTGCTCCGATATGACATCCGTTTTAAAGTATCATACTTTTTGCAAAAGTGAAAGTAAGAGGTAGAGAGGGGCAAGCAGGAGGGCCCGCTAGAAGGAAAGTGCTGTAATCACATAATCTGGCAAGATATCAAAACAGCTTCAGGACAGGGAGTAACATGGAAAGGGTGTGGAGGTGAGAGAGACAGACAAGTCAAGAGCAACTCCAAGGCTAGTGGCCTGAGAAACTGGAAGGGTGAAGTCACTGTCAACTTAGATGGAAAAATCATATAGTGGAACGAGTTTGGAAGGAAAAGACTACAGTTCAGATCTGAATATGTAAAGTTTGAGATATCTGTTAGATATCCAAGTGGATATGTAAGGAGAGATGAAGGCAGGATTAGAAAACAGAAACTAGATAATCTGTTTCATACCTAATATAAAACTCTACTCAAAATTCATTTAAATAACCCACAAAATTAGTACATTTCTAATATTAAAACTAAGCGAGTAAGTTTTTCTGAGATTCTGAAAAATGTATTCTCTGATTCTTAATCCTAAATCAAATATATATCAAAACATGACTTGATTTTTATTAGACTCTTAACCCTGATGTTTTGGGCAATGAAATTTCTCTAGATGGCAATGGTTTTCTGCCTGCAAAAACACTTACTTTATTTATTAATGACACAGACATTTATTCAGTTCCTATCACATGTGAGGTTTCCATTTTCCCCTGTAGTACATCATCTTGCTTGAGCAAAAATTTCAGTCAAAATGTCAGAGACAATCATTTGAGTTGAAATGAAACATTTTGTAAAGCAAATGTTAGAAGGGTAGCCTGGAAAATCTCTGATTATAAGAAAGCTACACTGGAGATGACTAATTTGGGAGAGAACATAACTTCAGTGAGCAAAAAGCTGGGGCCAAAGGGCTTTCTACAGTCTAGAAGATTTACCAAGGACATACTTTACATTTAATAAATGAATTCTATGCCTTATGTCTCAAAAACCAAAAACTGTCCCCACTCAATCAGGGTTTTTTTTAATGTAAAAAGAACAAAGTGAAGTCAAGTAACTAAACTACAAAAATTATATCTTAGCAGGGTAAATGAAAAGGCCCTAGGCTCATTCCGCAGAACCACACACAGAAGAACTAAATGCCACAATTTTAAAATTTGCTTTTTATTTTAAAATCTGTGAATATAATGTTGAATAGGTGAGAGTTCAGTAGATAGATAATATTAAGAAGTCCATTAAAAGGAGAACTTCTTTTCAGCAAATAGGTAAGCACTGTTTTGGAACATGAAGAGCAATAAGAAACAGTTACTAGTTCAAGAAGCATAGGAAGAGGGGAGATTAGTTATGGGAGTGGTGTAACTATGTGAGTCTTAGGAAAAAAGATTTAGGTCTTAAATAAAATACTAATGATGATGATCACAAACAAGGGTGGAAAGGACTTTTCAGGCAGAAGATCTTGAGCACAGAGTGAAGGCAGGAATGGAAGGCATGTATGGAATAATTACTGAGCCAGTGCTAGAAAATGTAAAAGGTAGGGACTAAACTAAATGTATAAGTTC